TATCGTAGCGCCCTAGCCGAGAGGACAATCAGTCTCAGGGGAACTCAGGAGGATGGTAGTAATGTATGTGTCTGGGGGAAGCTTGGTACAGAGATTCGAGCTTTGTTGGTGCACAAGAGGTAAACTCACAGTTCACAAACTACTGAGCAGCTCTGGAAATACATTAACACTCAACAAGAAAACAAGTTTAAGCTTTAAAGTTCATTTTAGAGTTAAAAAGCTGTTTATTCCACTGTGTTCAAACAGACTGATGTACACCATCAGTGAGGTTTTTTGGATTAAAGCTCATGGTGTAAACTGTCCAGCAGGTGGAGCTGTTTAGTAGTGAGATTACATAAAGCACATTGTGTGTGTGTGTGTGTGTGTGTGAGCTGTACTGACCTGCAGCATTGACTTGGGGTGAGGAAGCTCCTCTCCCTGGTAGATCTTCATGTAAGCCTGAAAACGGGCAATACAAAGGAGGAAGCATCAGTCATATGAACATTTATAAATACAGATATTATCACATCACCTGAGCTTCTATGTGAGTTACAACCACTTTAACCACCAATGAGAACAGCAGCACCTTCTGACTGAGCTCAGTGAAGTTGGGATTTTAAAGTTAAGATGAAATAAAAAAAGGCCTTTTTAATCCTTTAGATTAGCTCTATTTAACTTTCTCCAACAATCCGGTAATGTTTGTTTTATCTGTTCAGAGCATTTAAAGTTACAGGAAAACTACACTGATCTTTCTTTGTGGGGAACTTATTTTGAAAGTATAGGTCCAGAAACTGAATGTTAGCTTGCTGCTGACACTGCTCTTACTGAATGAAAGGCCACGGTGGGCAGAGGGATATAGACTCACTTTGAAGTAGTGCAGCAGGTCCCTGCAGGTGATTTTGACTCCTCCGATCTCCTTTTCCACCAGGTTCTCTGGAGAGAGCAGCGTCGGAACGAGGTTCACCAGCTCCTTCTTAAAGTCGTCATCGATATCTGAGACACGCACCAAACACACGTCGTCACAGCTCAACCTCGTACGCAGTCAGAGCAGCAGTGAGGATGATAAACTAATAAACAGCAGCAGCTACAATGATGAGGACAAAACAAGACGGCAGCAGACAGAAAGCCGTGAACCAGGTAGTTACTTTAATACCGTCACACACACACACACATTATAGACGGTCAACAGGTCGCTGTTCACTGTGGCGGGTATCTGAGCCACCAACCAGCACTTGTTATTGAGAAATCTTACAGATGAAATGGTTCATTGTTTTTAAGCCAATGATGACGACTGCTTGTTGTGTCTGTGTCTGACCTCTGAGCCGTCCGTCGAAGTGCGGGTTGGTGGCCACCTTGAGGCCGGGGTGAGGCAGCAGGAAGCAGCCGATGTTGGAGAAGCACGAGTGGATGTGTTTCCTGACGTTCTGCAGCTCCTCGTGTTGGTTCTGCTTCACCTGAACACGGACGCCAACACACATTAACCCATTAAAGTCTGGAGACAGTCTTCCTCTATAATGAGTAACATGTCCTCATTAAACAGAGTATACTCTGTTCTATATGGGGTTGATTCAATCAATAATCTATATGTGTTTATTGAGGAAATGTTACAGAGTATTGCTTTCAATAAACAATAATCAGAATCTTCAGCCTGTTATTGATCCAGATAAGAGGCTGACTGGTGAATCTAACCTGCAGCCGTTTCTCCAGGAAGCTCTGTCCTCCCTCCAGACCGTACGGATGTTCGTAGGGGTAACTCCAGTCTCTGATCAGGAACATCAGAGTCTGAAAAGAGGGGAACATTCAGCTTACTGATTCAGAATAGATAATTGATCAGAGGTCATTAAGAGACAATATATTCAAGTACAGCTTTAGATTTGCTCGTGCTTCAAACTGAGAAGAATCTGAACATTGAAGTGAACGTGGCTGGAGGATCACACCTGGAAGGGTTTCTCATAGACTTCCTCCATGGCCAGTCGTCCGTACTCAGTGAAGAGCTGAGGAGAGGAAACAACCGGTCAGCTTCAAATCCTATTAAACCAGCACAGCGCAGTCATAAAGCTCAATCAGCATAGGAACAAATGTGTGCATATCTGATGGTTGCAACAGCTTTATCCGCTCCATGAAAGCTTTTCCATTTACTGCTCTGAACACTCAGCGCCTAAAAACCCTTTAATGCCGCAGCAAGAGATTACATTCACTGTTGTTTGGAATAAAAAGAGAAAGTGGGTTGAAGTTGGCCTGAATGAAGCTGGCCCCGCCCTCACGGTTTGACTGGCAGGTGATCTGAGGTGCAGCGATGAGCAGCTTTGGACCAAAGATGGAAGAGAACTTTCCACTGAGAGATTTCTGCCTCATAAGGCTGCCTGCTGGGTCGGGCTCAGAGGTTAATCCTGACCCGGACTCCTCATGAACACACCCGATATGGAGCTCCTCACTCAAACACTGGGCAGTGTGTGTCTTTCTGCTTACAGCCACCAGGGGGCACGCAAACCTCAAATGCTAAGAGAGTTGCATTTCCATGGTTAGCTATCGATTCATTACGTAATGGAGTAAGAAACACTTTATTAAAGCAATTCTAGAAACAGAGAAAATCAGACGACGGGGGGGGGGGTTTCTGGGTAAAGCGTTTCAGAGCTGCTGGAAGCCGCACACAATATAACTGATCAAGGTCTCATGACTTTTATCTGCAGATAGACAATGACTTGTAGCTGCTAGCTAACTAGCTTTCCACAGTGAAGCACTGATGTGTTATTAGTTCAGTCACTGTACACAGTTTTTATTTTGATGCTGCTTTAAATGATCACAAACTTTGGACACTCTACTGCTCACCCCGCGCTGTTCCCTCTCTCCAGAGGGAGTTGTGTGACAGTAATAACCATTCCTTGATAAGCACTGTGCGCTGTATGGCTGTATATACACTTCTGTGGATTTTTAACTCCGCCCTGCTGATTGTTGTCCGGCCGGGCTGATACTGACCTGCAGGTGCTGGAGGTCATCTTCCTGGACATTCTGAGACAGATTGTACACCTGAAACACACAGCACATACAAACAGATGAAATCAAACTGCACCTCCCGCTATAACGCTGTTAATCCGCCATCTAACATGAGAGTACCAGTGTTTTTCCGGCTGTTACCAAAGTAAGTAGCAGTTTGCTGGTTGTAGCTCATTGCTCCTGTATTCGTCTCTAACACGACCAGATATTTATGTCGCTTTTTGAGCTGTAAACTGGATTATATGACTGTATCCTGAACAAAGCACCTCCGAAGCTGCCGTTAAAGTCCAAAAACAATTACGCAAACATTTATGAAATCTGCATTTTGTGGGGTTGAAAATGTGTCGACTCCGTCCGCTTGTTTCAAAATTCCAATTTTTATTTGTATACTCCGATTCATAACAGAAGTTATCTCCAGGACAACCTTTTCAAAATGAGGCAGGTCCTAGACCGGACTCCCTTTTAACATTTAGCAGAGAGCCCCCAACAGTACAACCATGTTTCATATCCAAGCCCATGTATCTGAAAATCAGCCCTGAACATCCCACGCGCTTGACGAGAGGTCGGACAGATAAATCGGGGGACTGACTCTGCGTGCTTTAGAACGCTGTAAAGCCCAGGGAGACTGCAATCGCTGTAAAAAGCCTTGATCCCACCAAGTGACCACCACAAGACCCC